TCAATTCCGACGAAATTAGAATTAAAAACACAAAAATATTTTGCGCGCTTGGCGCGCATTTTTTAGGTCTTTTTTAGTTTTATCCTTTTAAGTTATTTAAACATATAATAGTCCCAAACTCAAGAAAGACAAATTTAAGATAGATCATTTTAACCTAAAACAAGGGCCTCAATGTGTATAACGGTGAAAGAATATGTTTGTAATAAATAAAACCATGATGAAAATGCTTATATTTAGTTTCAAACACACGTGTGTGGCCTATATTATAAATAAGATAAGCCCTATGTCGTATTGTTTTTATGGTAAATGACTAACCGGGAAATAAGGATTGTATGTTATTATTATTATTATCATTATCATTATCATTATCATTATACTGTATTGACGTCGACGCATTTCCAACGAGTTTCTGTTCAAACAACAAAGCAAAAATAGTCATTTTTTAACTAGAGTTCACTAATGATTGTCACCAAACCTAAATTGTCCCTATTTTGATGAGATTTCACCCTTATTGGAATTTTATACAGTTATCTGTTGCTGAAGCAATTAAATCTAGACAACGATGATCTTGAAAATTTTTGGCATACTCCCTTAATTAAAGTGGCAGAGGTTTTCCGTCGTTGCTGAAGAAACCAACATTAGACTGCTCTGATCATGGACCTATTATTATAGGTCCATGCTCTGATCTCGGTCTTTTTTTTTGGCATGTCTTCCTTAGCGGAAGTGGCACAAGTTCTCCCGTTGCTGAAGAGACCAAATATAGACTACACTGTACTTCAGGAATATTGAGCATATCTGCAGTCTCAGATAGATGTCAATCAACTTATAATTTCTTAGGCCTACGTATCCTTAACCGGTTGACAGTCTATCTGCCATATATTGCCTAACCACAGTTTCCAAATGTTTGGATGAATAAAGTGATATCTATGTCTATGGAAAAGAAAAGTCCTTGGTTGGAACTACTGTACCATCGTTAAGTTCCTTAATCACGTCATGGACAAAAGAAAATATCGATCAAATTATTTTGCATTTTAACCTTTGCGCTGCCTTTGATACGGTAGATTACAGTTATTGACTGATTAGAATTGTATTTAGACCTAAATCAGCGAATTTCGTTTGTTCGTATTTAAAACAATGACAAAAATTAAAATATAATTTAGATCATTTAATGGTGTTGCAGAATCTATTTCGCATGACACTTGGTATGCAAGATGTTATAGAATGTACCGACTAGAGTACAGGCATTCAGACGTTTACTACAATGATCTTCAGTGCTTCCTGTTCAATTACTCAAATTAGCATTAAAGTAACTTCTTGATCCTCGTTGGAGTAAGTACTGGGTGGTGCGGCCTTGGAGAGCCACATGGCAGCAGTGGCAAGTTTATGTACTTTCGACTTTTGGTTATTTCCGGTTGACAGCATTCTCTTTGTGTTTCTATTTGTAATCGTGGTGTTTGTATTTTTGTATGAATTTTAACCTAAAATAAATTAGAATTTGAACTAGGAATCTTTAGGTCTTACGAAAGACGATGCGTTTTAACCTGTATTTCAGCTTGATACCTGTAAAGCCGGACAATCGCTGCGTCGTACGACGAATCCAACTCCCGCTCCATGTGATCGCAGGCCCGTAGCCAGGGGTTTTTTTATGGTTCGGGCGAACCACCTTTTCTAGCGAACCCCCCTGTTTTCTAGCGAACCCCCTCAAATTTTTGAATGAGTCCCACTCGGACGGAATGTCTGTTTTTAACTTACCCAGCATTAAATCAACATTTAGCACCTAATTCATTATTTGGTCACCAGTTTTTAAATTCTATTCTGCGATACAAGCCTTCATTCATAGAATATCTCAGCTTCAGAAGTTCGGAGATTTAAACTGAACGTAACTCCTGCAAACCATGAATTTACGATGGCTCACATATAAGGATGGCAAACATCGATAAAAACCCGGCTCCCGTCTCAACTTTGACTGGCCTTTGCCTGAATGTTTGTAAAAAATGTACCAACCGGTAACAAAACCGGTCGCCGTCTACCTAGAGTAAATGGTGCCACTAAACGAAGCTAAAGTTTTGCGACTTAATCCACCAAATGCAGCTAAAGTTTTGCGACTTAATCACCTGATTCTGGACTGTGTGGTTAGTAAATTCCATAGCCATACTGTCCACAGCGCACACTAACCTATTTGCTGATGGAGCATTTTTGGGAAATTAACTCCTTTTTTTTCCATCCCAAACAAAATATTAATAAGTCAACATGGTCCATTTCAGTCATCATAGCCAGTCATAAAATTAGGAAGTTTGTTTTCAACAGCAGACACACACACAACAGAACGGAGTGCGTCAAAACGAGTGTTAATTTTTAGTGATAAAGAATTACGAAACGTCGTAGAATAACTTGACTTTTTTCGTCCACTGTTGCAAAGAAGAAAACGACAGATAGTCCTTTAAGATGGGTTATTTTCACAAAAACGTGATGCAATAATGAAAAAATGATTATTATTGTTCATTTTCAATTTTTTCCTATTCTTCTTTCTTCCTCTGCTTCTTCCATATTTTCGTTTAAATTTAATTTGTTATACTAAATACATATTTACGCATAATATTTCTATGTATATATATATATAAATTTACATCATTTTAATACAGATTTACATATTTTCTGTAATCTAGAAATAGGTTTATGTATACTTTGTGTCTGTATTTAACATGTTTCAATCTTTTCCTTTATTTAAATATCAATTATTATCATAAATTTTAATGATTACATTATTGCATATATTATTTTAAATAAATTTATAAACAATTTTAAATATTTAAATATAAACTATGAAAGTAAATACACGTAGATTAGATCAATAAAAATGGCCTAGTAATCTTTATTCATTAACACGAATAACATTTTCAATATTCTAATCACTTTTTATATAGCCGGAGTTATCGACCTAGACAAACCTTTGCTAAAAAGGTACACTTTCTCCGTGAAAAGGCTTCTTCTACGAATGGAATGACCTGTTCGAAGCACGAACTCCTGTAGACCAAACCACCGTACCGTTACGATGTTTAGTCGTACGGGAAATCCACCCACGATGCAGTACCGTTACGATTTTTAATCGTACGGAAAATCCACTCACGAAATGTTTTCTAATTTTATTATATTACCACCTTTTTATTACATACATCTTTTTCAAAACATAACTGCTTTTATAACATTATATAGACCCATTAAACACAAAAACTGCTCTGGCTTCGGGGGCTTCGCCCCCGATCCCACCGGGGCCCTCAGGCAGGCCTCTGAAATGACCTGGCTACGGGCCTGGATCGCCAGACGGTGCGACGCCGTCTGCTGATTGTCGGTGGCAGTCTGAACGGATCGTCATTAAAACGTAGCCTACCTAGTGTAGGTACACACAATGAGTACAAAAAAATGCACTGTCTTAGTTTTGCGTATGAGTGTAGGCCTGTTGTGCGTTTTCGTCTTCCGCCTCTTTTCTCTTATTTTACCGCATTTCAATTTTATTATTATACAGCCAAGAAATTAAAGTCGGATCCAGAATTTTTCAAACGGGAGGGGTGGGGATGAGCACTTGTATTCTTTTTTCTTATTTTAATACATAACATTAATATGCACTGCAATTCAAAAAGTTATTGTCAAAACGTCATTGTTTTATCGTATCTTTATTTCTTTTATTATTATTTATAATTATTATTATTTTCACGTATAATTTTATCAGCTAATCATAATCTCTTTATCTAATATTGTCCATTTAATCTCTGACCAATCTGTATGAAATTTACTGATTGGTAGTATGGTTACTCGCACTATTCACTATTAACTGCGAACCTGTAGAAGGAAATGGGGTTCTGAGCATACATCAAGGACAAGTTTAAACCAATTACTTTTTAATGATATTTTTATTTCATCATATTTCGATCAAATTTTCTTTGCATAACACATTAATGTGGCTTTGAGTGAGCACTCAATTTTGAGTGTATTTTAACAATTAGGGTCCCCAAGTTTATAGCACTAAGTAATGCGCAATCAATATTCAAGCCTTTGGTTTCCGGGTTTGGTGATTCGAAAGAAAGAACCGGATAAAAAGACAGATGTTTTCTGAATTCGTTTGCGTATTTCCTCTGCTGGTTACCATGGTAGAGTGATGTACGAAATGAATACTTACAATTTTTGTTTAATGTTGCCACATCGAGAGCACAATAAAATCTCCGCTTTATTTTCCCAAAAAACAGGCCAATAGAAAGTGTTTCAATGGATCACGTGTGGTGTTTGTTTTGTTAAAACTATCTGAATTTCCGCAATGCTTAAGGGTCTGTACTTATAACCAGCATCATTTGCCGATTTGGATTTTCGCCTTCAAGACGTTGACATTGCATTTCAGAATATTTGTTTACAAATTGAAAATACATACTGATTTGAAGAATCATAAAAGTAAGTTTTAATTGGATAATATTTAATCGAAATATATGCTTAAGAAATTTACGTGTTTGGTCTTGAATACGATTTGTGTCAGGCCAATTTTATATATTTTTACGATGATTGTACCACCATCAGGTACCTGATGATGACCTATGGTCAAAAGTACTCATACAATAACATTTTATTCTGAGGCAGATACCAAACTTTGTCCGATTTCTTATTTATATGAGTCTTCCTATAACCTTAGGCCTAACTCATTTTTATTTAATTTCCTTTAAAATTTATATATCGGAATACACTTTCTATTTATTCGAGCACTGTCATTGCCATTTATCTATTTGTTTACATTGTGTTTACTTGTACTTGTGGTATAATCAATAATGTTAACGTTAAAAAAGAGAAATTGGCAAAGGTATTTAAAAAATATATATCACAGGAATGCACAGAGAGTGAAAATTAGTTACTTCTATCAAATTTTAATTCCCAACGAAGCCCCAATGGCCTTGTTGGTAAGGGCTTGAATAGTTCTCAGTTTCTAATCCCGGTTAGGGCGACTCACTTGAAAATTCCTCTTCGTTGAAATTTAAAATTTATATAGTTTTCACAGAATTATTACAACGTCAATGCAATGAACAAAGGAATTAAAATTTCATTGAGTTTGTGTCCTCATTTATTGTACTACCATAACTTTCTGACGAAAGAGTGTCATTGCAAAGGGCATAGAATATTCTATACCAGTTGGTCATTGTTTTTTTGCACGGCCTAGCCATCGTTATAGAACTGGTCTGACGTTCCAATCTACATTTAACGAATTTTATATTAGTTTTGATACATTACCTGTTACTTTCAGGTTTTGAAATTACAATCAATTAGGTCTTATACTATTCATGTTATGTTTTAATTTGTAACATTGTTATTTTGTTATATTTTGATGGATTTGTTTTCGTAGGTCTTTTTTTTGCTGTTTACTGGTATGGGGGACGATCTTAGTCTCGTAGTAATTGCCTGTCTTCTGGTTGTTTCGCGATTTTCAGGTAATTATTATGCGTTATACAAATCCTTTCAAGGGGCAGTTTTAGAGGGGGATAAGCAGTTTAGTTATTTTGTATCACCAATTTCACAATTATGAACGGTGTAGAATTACAACGTATTACAACAAAATAGAGACAGAGAAGATCCTCAGAGAAAATAAGAAAGTAGGAGAACTGAGTCATCTAGTAGCCTACCCCAGTTCATTATTCAATTCATTTATTCATGCATTTTGCAATATTTCATGAGGAATCTATCGCTACAATATGTTCTCTGCACCACCATGAATAGGCCAACATTCGTATTTTGCAGTTCCAGTACACGGCAATTGCAGCAGTTCGCCGCCAGTGTCTTCCAATTCATGGGAAGGAACTATTCAGAATGCTAACTATGGCGTAGCAGCCTATCAAAACCTACAATCTTGTTGGTGGACAGTGAAAGTGTCAGAGGGAAGCCATATTAAACTAAATTTCGTCAACTTCCATCTTGAACCAGGTGGTACTGAGCAAGGTTGCTATGACTATGTTGAGGTACGACATTTTGTCATTTTCATGGTGTACCGTACTTTTGCTTCTGACTGTTAGGCTGATAAACCTGAAAAAAATAAATAGTAGGCCTAATTGAAAAGATTATATATCAATGATTGCGGTACACCTCGTAGATAGTACTGAAAAGAACTGTTGTTGAGAATATGGTTGAAAAGATTATTATTATTATTATTATTATTAGGCCTATGTTCTATAAAATGGCAACATTCGCTACATTATTTTCAGTGCACCATGATTCGACCGACCAATCAGCGTTTCCGAATTTAGGCCTACTAATTCTACAGAAACCAGGGTTTAGTTATTAGGTTGATACAAGATAATATTGATTTACTGGTACTGTATGTGAAAACTCAGTGAGGTCTCACTACAAAATGAGTCTCATCGTTAGAAAATCAAAAAATGAGTTAATATTACATTTTGGTAGAACACATTATAAGCTTTAATTTGGTCTTTGAATGGCTTTACTAGGATAAATAGATCCAGAAATGTTAGCATTTCAAGTTTAGGTGTATGAGAACCAGGTTTTGAGAAAATCGGCCTGAAAGATAAACTAACCTGTTCAAATAATAGGACTAGATTTACAGAATATGCGAAGAGAACACTGTTTTAGTAAGAAAATGCACTTAAAAAGTACACAATCATAAAATATAAGTATCAAGTTATTCAAAAACATTAAAATCAAAATTTTGTAAAAATGTTGCCTTTGACCTATTTTGGTGAATACCTCAATATGATTTCACCAAGGATGCGTCTCATTTCGTGGTGAGACATGTGATCCTTTTCAATGAGCGATTTATATATTTTTATATTTGTTAGCGTTTTTCATATTTTTATCGTATTGGGGACATATACGCAGTCACCAGTTGCGTTGCTTTTATAACATTACTAATGTTACTGGTAATAATTCAGGTTTACTTTTAATTTATTATGGGGAAGTTTTCGGGAATTTTTACGTCCTGGCGACACAGTGGGTTTTGGGGTTTTACATTTCTTGCCTACACACTACTAGGCCTATATCAAATGCATACATTACAGTTTGCAAAAGTGGGTAAATTTTTCATTTTGTTTTAAATTGCCGTGGGTATAGATATGTAAGAGATCGATGCATTCCACACCACGTCTCAAATATGTTGTATTTAAGATAATTAGGCCTACTCAAATTGAAAGACAAAAACTCTATAATATCACATATAAAATTTATTGTATTCCTGTCCAGAAAACAAAAAAGGTACTTAAAAAAGTGTTCATGTAAACTGATAGTTGTATTGTAGGCTAGAGGCCGGGAGATAGGGCCTACTGAAATAAATTCTCTCATTGGAGAGAACTGAAGTAATTCCCGTAAATGCTCGAATAGGCACCGCACCAACGTGATTTTTCGTTAAGCGCCGCGGCGCTTAATCGAAAGTATACCAGTGTGTGTAATAAAACACTTTAAGAAACATGGTTTTAAATAAAATATATACAGTGCTAAAATGAATTAATAACATAATTAAGACAAGCATTTCTTCATAAACGTTGGTTTACGATGACTTAAGACCTACTGATAGGCCTACCAAACTACGGGCATACTTGAAATAGGTAACACGAGAAAGGGCATGGAAGCAGGCAAATATCTTTTATAAGCGCCGCTCTCAAAAATATGTGCCGTACTGAAGCCTCTAGAAATTTTATAAGCGCCGAGGCGCTTATTCGATCATTTACGGTAAATAATAGATAGACGTTAATATCTCCTGCACAATGTCAGTACTACAAACACACACCCACACCCATCCACACACTTAAAAAAATAGGTCATTAGATACTTAAAAAAAAACATCTATTACCATTCACTTTGTTAATGTTTCAATTAAATATTTGTTTGATAATTGATTTCTAATGATCAGATTATAGCTGAAGGCGAATCACCGACGTCGCTTGGTAAATGGTGCGGAGAAAATCTTCCGGGTACTATAGAGTCCCCTGGCAACCATGTAACAATACATTTCTTCAGTGATAACACCAATGCCTTTTCAGGGTTTAAACTCAATTACACAGGTAAATTCGTTTCCTAAGTCCAGACCGGACTATCAAATCTTATTTGAACAAAAAATGATGTATGCCCAAATATGTTCATATACTTGTTACTTGCTATTTTGTTTTCAGTTACGAAGCGCAGAAGTTCTTTTTCCCTGGTCATTGGGTCCATATGCTAAGTGTTGCTGCTGGTAATCAGCGCAGGAGCAAGTAACCCCACCAGGTACCAATTTATACTCCTGGGTGAAGAGAAGCAATGCAGATATTGTGTCTTGCTCAAGGACACAAGCGAAATGCACAGCGAGGGATTGCAACCCCGACCTCGAGGTTGGGAAACCACTGCGCCAAACCGCTTCCACATATATATGGTCATGATTTGATGTCATGATGACCATTTTTTTCAAATAGAATTTGATAGACTGGACAGGGCTTTATGCTCTGTATACACTGCTTTTTCTTTGACAAAATATTTGCGATTTAGCCCTTTGTTTTTCTTTTAAATCTGATCTTTTGGCTGACTCCTTTTTGTGTTTTTCTTTTTATTTATCGTCTTGATTTAAATAACTTTATCATTTTTATGAGAAGAGATAAATAATATAAAATAAAATGAAATGTTTTTGGTTATTGTTCAGGAGTATGTGATGGTATCATAGACGCAACAAACGGTGGGGCCCTAGAAAGCCCGATGTACCCAAACCCACCGACCAACTTAATAATCAATTGCAATTGGAAACTCGGTACTGAGGACGGCTACAAGATTGTACTAAAGTACGAAGATTATGAGGTGTACATTGATAGCTGCAACAACGACTTCTTCAAGGTAGTGTTTAATAGTCTCTTATACACATCTAGATGTGTATAAGAGACAGATTCCATATATATATGCCTATATATAATAAATATATAATATATTTATTTATTTATTTGATATTTATACATATGATATATATATGTTTGATAATTATATATATATATGTATATATATCATATGGTTTTATATATATACTGTATATAGATATATATATATATATCATATGCACATATGTATATATATACTCTATATATACAGTAATACTCTATATATACAGTATATATATAAAGTATATATAATATTTAATGGTTTTCTGTATTGTCTGATTGGAAATTTGTATTTTGATCCTGTTAAGCAATGAGCAATTGTTATTGTAATTTTTAAATTTCACCACCGATTCTTTAAAAATGTGAAACGCTCATTCTGATTATAGGTTTATGATGGAGTAGACGCTACCGCAACAATGTTCCCAACTACATGTGGCAACAACAGGCCGATAGATACCTCGACCGGCAGCGACCTTTATATCTCATTCTCTGGAAGTGAACATTCTGAGTTCAAACTCAATTACACTGTCGAACGTAAGTTGCTCGTTCACACATTTTCATTTGTTTTAGAAATATTTAATTTTACATTAAATCATTTTGAATTTTGTTTGTTGATACTTAGAGTTACTTTTCAAAGTCGGTGTAATTTGCTTGTCGGATTTTCGCTGTCTTCTCGATGACGTCATCAGTCACTTGCTTATTCACGTAATCATTCCAGGTGCGGCAACGATGTAATGAAGATACGATTTAATTTTAGCTATCACATAATTTCTCCACTTGGAGTTTTCCTATGAGTAACTGACGGGGTGTCAATGAAATTTAACTACTGGCCAATCAGAAGAGGGCCAGCAATACGCGCTTGTCGAATAGACACACACACACATTGTCCTACAAACGCACGTGTTTACTAAAGCCGGGCACTCACTGCGTCGTATACGACGGTCGTACATCGTCCGATTCCTCTCCCTTTGAGCGCTGGACCATGCGACTCCGTCTGGTGATTGTGGGTGGTCGTCTGATCGTTGCGCGCGCGTTGTCGCCTTACGTTCTTCATAGAATCGCGTTGGCCGAGTGAGTGCCTGGCTTTACGTCCACAGTTTCACACTGTCGGACCTTGGCAACTATAATCCGAGGGAGTGGGGCTTACCGGAACATTATATTAAGTTACAAATATTTCGCTGTTGAAGCTTTCAAGAAAATCTACAATAAGGAATTAACACCGACTTTGAAAGGTAACTTGTCGGCATATGTATTTATTTGGTGTTTTATTTTTTTAATATTTTGTCAGGTGTTAACGTTTCAATACCCGTCTGAATTTGATATTCGTATTCGTACTTCTAAAATTTTAAAGTAAACATGCACATAATTCATTTCATTTTTCTAAGGTGTTTTTAAATGATACATCTTGAATCTTATTGACGTCGTACACCATTTTTATTTTTATGGATGGAATTGTGAACAATAACCCATGAGGTAATGTTTAAAAGTACTACATATGTTGACGAACGTCAGTTGGTTTACTGATGAGGATCATAAATACTGCAGATGTTCAATGACAGTAACCAGGTGTGAAGTTTATTCTTGATTGCTTCGTGATTTACTTGATCGTGATGACTGACAGGAAATGCGATTTAAATTTATTGTTTGAAAATTGATGTACAGTATTAGGTTTTAAGAATAAATCAAGGTTCATTCAGATTGTTTCTGATTTAAAAATCCAATTACAGGAATACTTCCGTGTGAGTCCAACCAATGTCTAAATGGTGGATCTTGTTCCAACATTAATGACACGGAATTCAGCTGCTCATGCGCAAGCGGGTTTACAGGTGCGTTGTGCGAGAAAGATGTAAATGAGTGCGAATCGAATCCATGCGTAAACGTTCGAGAATGCGTGAATGAAATCAACCAATTTCGATGCATTTGTGAAGATGGTTATTATGGTGTTACTTGCATTGAAGGTAAGCACAAGGTCTCTCAATTAAAAGTGAAACGATTCGTTACACTAAACGTAGATTCAGTGCTTTGTGAGTACACTTAACAACAGATCAATATCAGCGAACCAGCTTATTGTACAGCAATGCCACTAAACTACCGACACTAGTTCGATTCTGCGGTGGCGCAGAAATTTGCCGACAAGGGGTCAGGTGTGTCCGATGGAGGGTTCCGAACCAAGGCGACGACAAAGCCTCGGTCGACGGCCCGGAATAAAAAAAAATCCCTGTTAGGGTTCATGAGAGTTTTTATGGCTTAATTTGTTCCTAAATGTGCTTTTAGACCACAATGTTTGGGATTGGATATGAAAATTTTTTATTATTATTATTATTTTGGTCCTACGACCTAGTCGTTCGTCAGACGACAGGGGTCTAGGCCTGACCGAAGGATGGGCAAATGACCACCCTGCCCCCCCCCCCACTGGCGCCATCACTGGTTCGGTTGGAGGAATAAAAAAAAATCCCTGTTAGGGTTCATGAGAGTTTTTATGGCTTAATTTGTTCCTAAATGTGCTTTTAGACCACAATGTTTGGGATTGGATATGAAAACTTTCTATTATTATTATTATTATTTTGGTCCGACGACCTAGTCGTTCGTCAGACGACAGGGGTCTAGGCCTGACCGAAGGATGGGCAAATGACCACCCTGCCCCCCCCCCACTGGCGCCATCACTGGTTCGGTTGGAGTTCGGTGACCTGAATTTTATCGAAGTGTAGGTCTAACATGGAGCTACATTTTGGTTTTCTTTCAGATATTGATGAATGCCCGTGTGTGAACGGCGGGTCGTGTAGTGAGACCATAAATGGGTTTACTTGTGAATGCGTCGATGGCTACCGTGGGGAAAAATGTGAACTAGGTAGGTTGTCTGACTGATTATACGAGACTCATTAAAAAGTTAGTTTACAGAGTATACATTTTAAAAACAAGAAATACATTTTAAAAATATTGTAGTAAATAACTAAATAGTAACTCGCTGTTGCATGGGCACAAAATGTTTAAAAAAATTAAATTGAAAATTTCTTTTTAGATTCGGAAATACCGTTCTGTGATGCAGAACAAGACAACTTTGATGGCAGTTACATTTCATGGAACCGAGCAGATCCAAACCAAGTAGACACACAAAAATGTCCTGAAGGGGCACAAGGTAAAAATATAAATTTAGAATTTTTTTTTCGTAATATAACAATAAACACATATTAGTATTATATATAATCAATTCCTAGTACGTAATTAAACCACCCTACTTGATAAAACTGAATTTATTGTTATCAATAATTTATAAGCAAAATACTATCCATTATTTATCAACATAATATCTTTAGCGATTGGCGTTTTTCTTTCCAAACTCAGGTCTAGCAACACGCAGATGTGAGGTCATTTCTGACGACCCTATAGGAGTTCAATGGGGCAATCCAAATTTGACTGAATGCATCAGTCCTGAGTTTGCTGCGCTCAGCATACTGGTAAATATACTGTATGATTGGTATTGGCATAAGCTTAGGTTTTATGACATCATAATAAATTGGTTGTATGCTTTATACCGGAAAATTAAGAAATGTTGTATAAAACCTAACGTGAGTATGCACCTGATGCCATTTCAATTTAATTAGTATTCGTGAAAATGACATGGCCATGTAAAATCTTTAAAAAAAAAACAAATAGTGTGTACCTACATTTCTAAAAACATTTTAAAGTATTTTTATCTACCCTTAATTTATATACTAGGGTAATGAGCCAATTTCATTATATTAGGTTGACGAACTTGGAGAAGCGCCAACAGAGGATGCTCTTCTAAACGTTCTAAGTGAGGTCCAGAACATCACCAGAACATCCAATGAATCCACGCTCTTTCCTGCTGATCTGATTGAAGCCACAGACGCTCTTGCAACTATTGCGTCCGCTGCAAGTAACACTGATGTCGAGGATGTTGATAGCCTTGTGCAGGTAATCGCTGCTTCGACCAGTTGGAGATATGGAATATGTACAATCAAATTAATGTCATGGGGGAAGTTAAATCTACTGTTAAGTTAAAATAGATGTTTACCTTAAAACTAAAATTTATTATTATTTCCCAATCGGCGAACTGTGAACACTATTTCTGATAATTAGATTAGTCAGTTGGTTATAACTTGATCACATCAACATTTTCACTTTACCTTCCTTAGTTGTTTGGTGAGAGTGTTGACAATGTGGTCGATCCATCTACAGAGTCTGCCTGGAAGAATACCAACGACCCAGTAAGTTTGACTTCCAATTGCCAATCAGTATTTATATTTGTCATCCGAGTTCGATTAGTTATCAAATCTTGTCTCCGACTATAGGATAAGGCCGCCCAAACGGCCACATCGCTTCTAAGCTCTACTGAATTGTTGGCTGAAACAATAGCGAAGAACAAATTAGCAAAGAAATTAAATGGTTCGGCAGATGAAAGTGACGATCAGACTTTAGTACAACTGAAGAATCTTGGTAAGTTTTGTGATACATATAAGAGGTGCCATGACCCAGTTGTACCATACAACCTTTCTCTTATTTGATTTAATCACTCTCAGTTTCTCAGAAAGCAGTTTTAACAATTAACTTCTTTCCAACGCAGGAACCAAGGTTTTCTAATGGCGGTCCTGTACCCCTCCCCTAGACCTCACTGGGCCTAACTGTCTTTTTAAATCGACATTTTAGATTTGAATATCCAGGTAATAAATAACGCAAGTGGAAGTAACACAGGAAGCTTTATGTTTGGTGGCGAAGAAGTTGATGGCGAACAAAGTAGCAGTATCTCTATGCCAGAATCAATCTTGGATGTTGACACAGACAATGAACCAGGTAAGAAATCGATTCTGTCCATATACCTCATTGCTGCTTAACATTTCCCGTATAAATTATTACATATATCATAATCATAGATAATATATGATTGCTTATTGCCATCCACCCATGACCCGTATATCATATAAAAAGTGTACAACGCTTTAGTCCGTCCAATAATTGAACATGGTGTACCTGCTTGATCTGCCCACTGAAGGTTGAATCAATCCAACGCAGAATGACAAGGGCGTGTTCCTCGCGTGATATCACATACATACAACGTCTTGTTATCACACGTTTAAAAACCGTTTTGAATATAGTATATGCATGGTTTTTGTTGCAAAATGTCTTTATAATAGATACACCGACCATTTTAAAATTATACACATGTACTCGCGTACTAATAGTTTTAAATTTCACGTTTTTAATAACTTTCCGAGAGTTTGGGATAAACTTCCCATTGATGTCCGAGATGAACTTGTTTTTGGAATTGATTCTTTTATCAGAACTTTAAAACTATTTTATGCTAAGCAATAATTCTATTTTTATATTTCGTATCTCGCATTTTACCTTCGTAAACTGAATATTTTAACATTTGTTTTTTGCTGCAATCTTGTATGTATTTTTTTTATTGTATTTATGTTTTTATCTTATTAACCTTTGAGTGATTTCATTGATGATTTTGTGCATGTATATTTTAAAATATACTTTATTGATATTTTACTTGACTATTTGATGCTAGTTAATTTATGTTCTCATTGGCATCGGAGAGTCACTAGACAGTGATTTAGTTCACTTTTTGGCAATCCTGTCCAGCCAATTGAGCGATGTTTTTGCTCTCTGTTATGTTGTGTTGTCAATGTTAATGTTCTTTGGACGAAACAAATGAAAAGAAATTAAATTCATCCACAGTTATCAGACTTGCCTTCATCTTCAATTCGAACGATGGTTGTCATTTAATCTAGGTAATTCAAACTGAAGTAAAATATGATGTGTTATATTCACAGAGTTTGTTGCAATCTACAGTGCTAGATTTAAGACCATCGGTAGCCTACTAAACGCATCATCGTCTGGTGCAGATGACCAGCAAAAGTAAGTGCGGTTTATTATGTAACCATAACTGTGTGACGTTTAGAAAGAACTAGACGTATCTACATTCACAACTGTAAATATTTGTATAAAAAAATTAAACCGTTCACTTTGGTCTCAGATATGTAAATGGTGACATCGTGTCAGGAAAAATCATTGGTTACCAAAACGTCAAGTTTCAAAACCTCAAGGATCCAGTAGTAATTGTGATAAAACATACCAATGTAAGTGCTAAATCCTCCGTTTCCCAGGGGTATAAAGTAAAAAAATTATTTCGCGTAAAGAAATCCATCTGACCGGCTAGTTTCAGCAGCTGTTGTGGACACTTTATTTGGCTATTGAATCAATGGTACAGATCAGTCACGTTTCAATGGTTGAGGGCGCCAAAACAAGTTCTGTCTGTCTATTGATAATTCTACAAACCTAGATAGAAAAACGAAACACCATCATCCCCACCCCCTCCCCCCCCCCCACACACACACACCAGAAGTCATCGGTTAACAAAACTACAATTAAATTTGCATAAACGAAACTAAAAGAGGGCTTCGATGAAGAATCACAGTATGTACAACAAGTGTAAAAGCACACACACTTATACTTTTTCGTGATTATGTAATTACACCGTCTCGGTTATTGAAACTGACAAACACAATCATGTTTAATGTGTATTAGGGTAACATTTAACTGAAGGCTGATTTCTTAGATAATGGGGTTTTTTTTCATGATTTACGAATGAACGAAGATTGTACCATTTAATATCGATTCTAATATGAACACCATTTTTTCTTTCTAGGATTCAAATAATAATCCAACATGTGTGTTCCTAAATGAAGATTCTACGTAAGTATTATCATTACTGTAATGTCATTAACATTAATATTATTATTTATTATTATAATCATTATTATCATTAGTAATATAGTTATTATTGTTATTCATTCATTCATCTTTTATTTCGGAATTTCATGTCCATACAAAAGGAAAACAGTTAAATCACAATACAAATACAATTCAAATATATATATATATATATATATATATATATATAT